CTGGCGGCCAGGCCTGTGCAGGGACAGAGGGAGGGTGGGCGGGGCAGGAGCGAGGGGGCAGCCTAGACTTTGTTTGCACAGCTCATGCACAGCTGGGGGCTGAGGTCAGACGCACCCAGGGGCAACATAAGAACTGCCCTCCCCTTAACCCAGTCGTGAAATCTCCTCCCTGGACTCCCCTGACCAAATCCTGCCTCCCCGCCTCTTGACCAATGCCTGCACTTCACCCTCACCCTATAGTGCACACTTCTACCCTAAAGGAAGCCTAGTCACCCCCTCAGGGCTGACACCAACACTCTGGTCTCAGGCCGCGGTGAGAGAATGCAATGCAATTTCCTAAAGTCTCACCACGTCTCTGGTGCTGGCTCCTGGAGGTGGCACCAAACAGGAGGGAATCAGGGGAATTCACACAGAAGTTTCCCAGATCCCAGAGGCTGTGCTTAGAGCTATGGCTGGTCTGCCCTTCAGCTGCAGGTGTCCCAGGGAGGGGTCTTTCCCAGGATCTTCACAAGCCAGGAACATTCTTACAGTGAAGTTACAGAGAATTCAAAACTGGGGCAGATTGGGTTTGAAACCAGAAACTTCCTGCCTCCAATTTCCCCTGAGTCATTAAACCCTCAGTGAGGAGTGGGGAGGGGGAAGGACAGCCTGCTCTCTTGGCCCCTCTGTCTTGCCACTGAAGGACAGGCAGCTGGAATTAAGGAAGTCAGCCATCTCTGTGGGTAATTATCAGGTGCTTTTCACAGCGAATGGAAGGTTAAAGCAAAGAAAAAGGCCTTTTCTGCTTTCCTCCTGACAATCATCACTCCTGTCATTTGTAACATTGCTTTCCAAAATCATACAGGGACCCTTCAAGGATGCAATTTTGGATAAGATCTTTCCCACACACATTATACCTTTGAGGTTTCTGTTAGATGTATATTGACTGATGTTTAGTGATGTTTAACTCTCGGTTAAATACACTGCCCAATTCTTCATATCTTAACATCTTCCTGTCAACATAAGAAACATTCAAAACTATGAAGAATTTTTGTTGGTTTATTTGAGCCCAAGTGTCCACAAGTGACAGGAAGCAAAACTTCAAAAAATTGAGATAATGTTCCAGAGAACAGTAGTTGTGCATTGAATTTTATACATTAGAGGCTTAGCGCATGAAATTCCTGCATTTG